CCACCTCTGGCCTCTCTGTGTCTCTTAGCACAAAGGGGCAGGCCGCAGACCAACTCGGTGCTCCCTGCTCTAGGAGACAGAGGATCCTAGGAGCAAAGCCACCAGAAGTCTAAAGGGTCCCCCCAACCCAGAACCAGGAACCATACTAAACCCTTCACACACTCCCGAAGCCAACTCTGGGGGTCTAGGCTGCCCATCTTCCACAGGAGGGAAGTAAAGATCTGTGACAAGGGCTTTGCCCAAGGAAAGAGCCAGAATCCCGGCCCCTCTGGCCCCGGAGGCCTACTATCCTCCCTGAGACCCTGCTGCCAAACCACCCCTCTTCCCTTTCTGGCCCGGAGTCTGGACCTTCAAGCATCCTCCCAATTGGATCCCTGGAGTCACATGGGAAGCTGCTGTCGACGAATGAGCCGGTGCTCAGAGAGGGTAAGTCACTTGCCCAAGGTCACAGAGCCTGACTGCGGACCCAGCCCCCTTCTCCAGGATACTGAGTTCTTTCCTAAAAGCAGACGTGGATGTTTCCTGCCCAGATGCACCCCTCGCCCCCCGCCCGCAGCATAACACCCCTAACATCAATTCCTCTTGCTGCTTTCTCTTACCTCCAGTGGAGAGAGGGAGCGGGCCTCCCTGGTCTCACCCCCTTGTGCCCAGGATACATAGGATTACAGAAGCCACCTTCCTCCCTCTGGGCCTTCCCTCTTCTGGGTGGCTTATTCCTTGCCTGGCTGTGGGGCCCTTCACAGCCCGACTCATTTGTCCCCAGATGGGTACCAGCTACAGCTTCCCCCCACGGCCATGTCTTGCCCCCTTTGGCTAAGCAGCCCCGGGGGGAGGGGAGTGATCATTGGAGAATATTCTTTCTCTTACAGGAAGGGACCCTCGTGTGACCCTTCCCAAGCCAGAGAGTCACAAGAGCCCAACGGGTGACACTCAGCATCTCTTAACCCCAGACTCCTGATGGCAAACGGGCGGTCGCCTTCTCAGCTCTGCGGGGGCAGAAGCATTAGGGGCCGGCTGCCTGGACCTCCCCTCTGGCTGTGTCTCCCCGCCCAACCCACACAAGCTGCTGCGCACCGGTCACCCTTTTGAGCTTCAGGAATAAGGCTGCAGAGATTCAAGGTTGGCAAGCAAGGTCAAGGCAGAGCCTGGGCTGACCAAGAGCGACAAGAAGCAGGCGACCTCCTCCGAGTCCTGGACGGAGGGGTCCCTGAAGAGTGCCAGGAGCCTCAGGGGGAGAGGCTAAGGAAGGGAGGTAGGGTGGTGGTATCTGCTTGTTGGGGCTGCCTGGCTGGAGCCCAGAGGCCTGAAAACAACGCAGCTCAGACCGCAGCAGACGGCTCGAGCCCCGTAAGCGTGGTTTCTGGGACCATCTGGCTGGTTTCCCTCTGAAGGCAAGAGTTACATCCCTCTCCTTCCCTTTTCAGTGTCTGCGCCCAACCCCAAGTGAGCGTTTGATGAATGGCAGGTGAAGGCAGACCAGGTAAAACAAGAACCTGCTAGGATTCAGGCACACCAAGTTTCCCACCTTTCTCTGCCTCCTGTGGGCCAGGCACAAAGTCCGGGGCTGTGGGAAGATTCCTGTGCAGAGAGACGAGCTTTGACAGCAAGATGTGTTTATGATCAATTCAAGATGAAGCTGAGTTGTGTAGTCCAAGTGACACGAGTGACAACTGTTCACATGCACCCTTACGTCCTTGACAAGTGTTTGTCGCGCCTTAAGGAGGATCCTTTGCAAAAGGCTACATATTGGACTATAAGGAAATTACCCTGCAGACGCCTTACTTCCTCTGGGAGCCAAGTACCATGAGCATACCCATTTCGCAAATGACGAAACCGAGGGTCACTTCGGGGAGGGGCTGGCCTGTCCCACAGCCTGGGCACACAGGGTTGATAACAGCCTAACCAACAAGCTGGAAGACACTGGGCCAGGCATCTGAGAAACTGCACTGCCAGCCACATGGACTCCTGCTCTCCGAGTCATGGCTGGACAGGGGCCCCCCGCAGTCTCGAACCCCCTGCTGCTCCTGGATGTGAGCTGTGCCAGGAAGGGTGAGGATGGCACGATGGGACACGACAATGTACAAAATCTTATCTGCAGAGGAGGAAAAAACATCTCCTCTGCAGTGTTCAGCCTGAAAGATGGGAGGTTTTTGCTAGGCTTCGACCAGATGTGTCTGAGACCTTCTCCTGCGCCCCCGCGCACGCACGCACAGACGCAAACACACACCACCAGGACAGTCTTTCCCACGGAGCTGGAGAGGGGCGGCAGCCAGCAATGACCCAGGTGTGAACATCTGGACTCCCCTCCGGGCGCGGCCGCCAGCTGTGCTCTCCCGAGGTGGCCTAGGACCCCGGGAACCAGTGTGGGTCTTCGGATGGGGCTCCTGGGAACCAGGATCTGTGTGACAAACACCTGCAAGGACGCAAGGCCCTGGACCCAGCCCAGACCTGAGGCCTGAGGCCTGAGAAATCTGAGCGCAAAGCCAGCCATGCACTTGAAACTTAACAAGCTCTCCCGGAGACGCCGACGGCCCCTGCTGAGTGCTCCTCTCTTGACACAGAACCCCCGGAACACAGAGCAGATGGCCCCAGGCCCCATCAGAAGGAAGCCCATCTGGGGGCCTTAGGACAAGCTGGAGGCTTTCTCTGCTTTTCCTGCCGGGAGACTTTCCATCAGCAAATATCTGTGGACCTACTAAGTGCCAGCAGAGCCAAGCAGCAGCAAGGGAGACAGATGCAAAGCCGATGAACCCCCCTGCTGCCTCCCCCGGCCTATACCTAATAAGGGTTCTATGGAGGAAAGTACTCAGCTAACTCTCTGATCAAAACTGTTCCAGGTCTCCAAAGGCCTTTAAAAATAGCCCAGGCTGGCTCAGCACCGCCAGACCCCTTCCTACCAAAGCCCTGTTGACTCACCTTCTCCCAAGGCTGACAGATGTGCCGGGGGGTGGGGGTGGGGGGCAAAAATGACCGCCCCCCACCCCTTCCCATTTAGAATCAGACAGGGACCCACAGAAGAAAAGCCTCTCCTAACTTCTCTGCCTGAGTTCTGAGCTCTTTCAAGGGGCATAACTTTGGAGACGAACCGGGGTTTGAGTCCTGACACTCGCCTGGTGATCTCGGGCTGTGGATCTCGAGCACACGACTTCACCCCTGAGTGTTAGTTTCCTTGTCTGCAAATGCAGTTGGTAGCAGTGCCCACCATGTGTAGGGTGAGTCTATGGGCTGATGATGCAGAGCTTGGCATGGGACATGCTCAGGAAGCGGGCAACCTGGCTTCATGCGTGGGGACAGCTTGTGCAACCCAAGCCCACCCCTCCCGTCAAAGCCCGCGGCACCCTCTGCCTCCCCGGGGCCCAGGAGCCTGGGAAGTCCCACCTGCAGCCAGCCTGCGGACAGCTATGGCCCACATCTGGACAGAGCCCAAGGGAAGACGAAGCTAATCTCACAGAACGGCAGCCAAACTGGGCCACCTCCTGCCTCCCCCACCTTGTCCTCCTCCCCCACCTCCCAGGAAAGAGGGTAAGAGCTGGAAGGACGGAGTCCCAGTCCTTGGAGCTTCTGCGCTTGAGGGAGCAGCTACAGGGATGTGAGCTCCTTGCTGGAGAATGCCACTGGAGAAGGACCAGTACCTCCTAGCAGATTAGCGCCCACTCAGGAAAGCCCCCTTTGTTCTAAGCACATGGGGGCAAGGGGCAGGGAGCCGAAGCGTGGGCTTGGCCAGACCTGCAAACGTGCCCAGAAGACCGATGGGGGGGGAGGGGGGACAGAGGTTGTGCAATGCACCACCAGAAGCTGCCTCCCAGGCTTCCATCCACGCAGGAGGCTGGCAGTCCATCTCCTTCCTGGGGGAAGAGTGCAGAGGGGCTGGACCCCTGTGGCTGCCAGGTATGGGGCCTGAACTCCAACCCACACCCAGGGCGGGTGCCCCTGTCCAAGTCAGACACTCAGGGAGGAGCCCTTCCAGACCATGCAGCTGTCCTCCTCCCGGTCCCCCCACAAAATAAGAGCATGTGGTCAGGACCCGGTGCCGTGAACTCCTGGCAAGTTGGGGTGTCCCCCTAAGAAGGTGCAGGGAAGGGAGAAGTCCTTCATAGAGAAACCAGAGATGCTAGGGTACCGGACAGTTGTGAAGTTGGGCCAAGTGGAAAGACACACTTGGCCAGCTCTGGAGAAGTCCGAAATGCGCAGACCCTCCTCTTAGGGGGTCCCCCCCACGGTGATCTGTTGAGATGCCCCAGATTACCCCCCACTTTCCCCACCCCACCCCCATCAACGCATTTCCCAGTGTGGCAGATAGAGCTAGAAAAGGGGAGGTGAGATCAGAGCCACGGGAGAATCCGCCCTGTAAATCTGCAGCCCACAGGGCGCCCAGGACCCCGCGCCGCCGCCGCCTCGATCTCTCTGGCAAATCTCGCCCCCCTCCCACCCCAACGCACACAATCCGGGCCAGGGAGGGGGCGACAGGCCAACCTCGCAGCAGCAGCAGCAGCGGCAACAGCAGCGGCATCGTGATGCATGAATCACCCACCCCGCTGCGCTCGTGCCAGTCTGCTCCGCACAGCCCCAGCCACCGCGCCACCCGGAGCCCCCTCCCCGACCACCGCCCCTCGCCCCGGCACACCCCGGCTCTTTCGGACAGCTCTGCAGAGAAGGGGCCGCGGGGGTGGGGGTAGGGGGCTGGGGCCGGTCCTCCCGTCCCGGGGGTGGCCCCGCGCGCGCCGACAGGCGGCACCCGTCCCGGGCGTGGGGGTGGGGAGGGGTGCCCTAGAACAATAGGGCCAGGTGTGGGGCCGGGGGCGCGGCCGGGGGGCCGCGGAGGGGCCCGCGCGGAGGCAGGGCGGGGACTGGCCGAGGGAGGGGTGAGGCGGGCGCGCCCCGAGGAGGGACGCGGGGTCCGGGGGGGGGGGGGGGGGGGGGCCCGGGCGGGGGGGGGGGGCGCGAGGGGGCGGAGGCAGCGCCGCGGAGCGCGGGGCGGGGGTCCCGGCGCGCGCACTCACAGTAGGTCTTCCTGGTCAGCTCCTCCACAACTTCGGGCTTCAACTTGCTGTTGGATTTCCCCATCCTCGGCGGCCACGGCCCCCCGCCCCCGGCCGGACCCCGTCGGGGCGCCCAGCGGGAGCGGCTCGGCAGGCGCGGGGCCGGGGCGGGCGGCGGGCGGGGCGCGCGGAGGGCCGGCGGGCCGGAGCCGGGCCGGAGCCGAGCCGGAGCCGGAGCGGGCCGGGGCCGCGCCTTTGTCTCCTCCGGGCCC